AAAGTTTACTATGTGAAGGAGGAAAAAAGCTGGGCCTTACCATCAAATGTGACATCTGAGGCACTTTGAATCATGGGAACTTGATACTTGCAGCTCACTCTTCTTTGGCTACGGCCTGAAGGTGTCCTTTGTTGCTGGCGCCAGTACTTCCGTTGCACTGCTCTGATCTCAATGTGGGCCTGGAGGAAACGGTTCTGGAGAGCATGGTCTGCTAGGCGGTAGAATTCTTTGAAGAGACGCTCCCGTGCCTCAGGAGATATCTTGTCACCACATTTTTGAGGACAGGTGCATATGAGTTCTGAAACAGAAAAAAACAAAAAACAAAAATGATTAGAAGAGGTACATAAAAAACTGATGTGTGAAAAAGTCTTCAATTTTCTGTGCAACTTCAACAGAAATTTGAATCCTTTTCCTTAATGAATAAATTTACGCTCAGAACTACAAGCAGAGAGCTCAAGTTAGTTTTTGGCACAGTCACAGAAGAATTAATTTTCATCCTGCTCAGAACGAATGTCATGCATAGTGGTGCATCCCAAGTTTATCCAGTTTGCACATGTTCATTGTTGAGTCACTATTAATATTTCTTACATCATTAGCTCACACTTTTGGTAACTTTACGCTTTAAATTGTTTAAAAGTCAATGAATGTTTTTTTGTTAATATACATTAGTATTGCAATGTTAATTCTTTTTTAGGCACACAGATAATGTTAATATTTAAAACAGTATTTTCAGAATTTGTTAGTTATATCAGAACATTTGGAACATTCACAAACTCACCAAACCAGCATATTGCCATCGTTTTGATTGAAAATGCTGTGTGCAATGTCCTGTAAAATCCCATTTTTAAAAAAATTATCAGTGCAAAGCTTTCTTTTAATACTTAGTTTTTTGCCCTTTATTTTTAATTTAACTTAAGTTTTATGATAATGTTTTTTGAATTTACATTTTTTACATTGAATGAGATTTTTTTGAAATGTTGCCAAACAATTGAAACAAGAGTAACTTCATATGCTTCACCCTTCTAGAGCCCCTGAGCTAGGCCCCAATGGGATGAGAGGGACAGAGATCCGTCCTCACTCAGTCCAGGCGCACAGTCATAGATAAGCCGCCAATGCATAACACTTTGCTTATCCTCCTCGACCCACTAACCACTACATTCCACAAAAATAAAAATCGACAACCACACACAGAAGGCCACGATCTCAAAAATCCCTAGGCGCCCGCGGGCTTGCCCTGCCCAGGGCCCCAGGGCTAGTTATTGCACAATTCATTTCACAATCAGTTGGCCTAGATCGGTCCCCGCGCTGGCCGCCCCGGCCGCCCCTAGCTGCACGTCCGTGCACATTAAAACGCCCGACACTCGATTAAGGGCGAGTGGCAGCACTCTACCCCTGGGCCGAGGGCCGTCAACAAGCCTCTGAGGCTTAGCGGGGGCGACAATGTGATGCAGCGTCAATTTGCTCGGGCAAAACAAAGCCCCGCGAGCAGGGGCCGTCGCGTTGGGGCGCTCGCGCCTCCGCTCAGGCGGATGGGCAGGCGAGGCACTAGCGACCCCGACCCGACCCCCGGCCTGGGGCCCTAGCGTGTACGACACATTTCGTCATGGGCAACAAGTCACATCACTCTAAAAGTCGACTCTTGATAGTCACACTGTAGCACACACTATCTCCACAGATCACAGACGAACTGTTCGCGATCCTTGCGAAATTCATCTGTTTACGCGACACCACACACGCACAAGTCCTCGCTGTTGCACTTGCCTCGCTAGCTAGCACATTTAACGGTGACTACTTTTCAGTGTCATTTTTCATGACAGAAAATATAACATCACTCACAGTTCACATACTTTTTAAGTCACTTTTCACTATCACTTAAAGTTGTCGCACCACTTTGAAATGTTGTTATCCTCGGTGACACTCGCGAACACACAAACCTAACCACACCAAGACACGCTGTTTCGTCAAACAAAAATAATTACCTGGTTGTTTCTTGGCTGGTATCACTTTTCCTGACTTAGACACGTATTCTTGACCAGAGTATCTCATTTTGATTTGTTCCTTTCGATCCCACTTCGGCCAATATTCATGGCTTTCTTCATTTTCTTGAGTGTCCATCATCGACGCCAACGCACGGGCCTGAGAGTCTATCAGCTCCATGGCACGGGCTTGCGTGTCCAGCATCGACTCCATCCCTCGGGCGTGCACTTGGGGCTGAGTGTCCATCATCGACGCCATCTCACGGGCATTTCCTTTCCGACTGACGACCGGTCTGCGCGCGACTCCCTTCCAGACTCCAGCCTCGCTCGTTCCGCTACTTGCCGAAAAAAATAGTTCGTGAAAAAAACGCGTTTATGAATGAGAGTGCCATCTATCGGCGAGGACGGTCAACTACAGACTGCTGCTGCCATTGACGAGTTCAAGAACCTTGGGCCTCTGCGTGAAGCGTAGTACGCGAGTAGCGAGCACGTGGCGTAGTACGAGGCCCGCCTCAAAGAGCGCGCCAGTGAGCTCTTTCTGTTTCTTTTGTGTTGGAGCAGGGGTGGTGGGGGAGCGGCGGCCACTCCGATTGGTCGCCCGTTCCCGCGCATTTCGCGCGCAGTGCGGCGGCCGAGGCGGCAGTTTCGAACGCGCGCACACAGAAAGTAGGTCACTGTGTTTACTATTCTGATAGGGACCTTAGGCGCTGCGACGTGTCCCGAATAAATGCCTTTAGGTTCGCACCTCCGAGTGCCGAGGCTGTTTCGGGACGCGGGCCTGCAGTTTGGGCCCCTTTTGCAGCGCGGAGAGGAGGGAGAGAGGGGCGCTCACGTCCAGCCGTGAACTCCTCCGCCAAGCAGGGCGAGAGGGGTGGGGGGCGGGCAACAACCCACAGCTGGCCTCCCTCCCCTGCGCGCCTCTTCACCTTGCCACCCCTCTCCCTCCGCTCTCCCTCCCCACCCTTGTACCTCTCTAGGGTCCGGCCCTCCGCGGAGGGTGCATCCCGCGATATTCGGGGCGGGCCTCTCTGTAGCCTGGGGGCCGTGCGTGAACGCCACCCCCTGCTGTAGCCACCCCCTTGCAGCCACCCCGCGTGAGCCCCCCGCGCACGGCTCTGCTCTACCGACCCGCGCCTTCCCTTTGTCGCGCTGGCTTGCTGCTGCTGCGGATGTGCCCCGTGCCCCCCCCCCCCCCCCGGTGGGGCACCGCGACGACACGTGTTGTGACCAGACCATTGCGTAGTCAGTCGGATCCCCCACATCCTCTGCGATGCGATAAAACTAGCCAGGCCAGCGGCGCCCCCCGCGGCCCCCTGCGCGCCGCGCCGCCGCCGAGCCCCTTGCGGAGGCGCGCGCGTGTGTGCCCGCGCCGCGCAGCCTTTGGGCCCCGCGAGGGATTCTCTCTAGCGAGGGCCGGAGGCGTCCGGACGAGCCGCACGGCGACGCCGAGTCAGCTGCTCGGGGCGCGGTTCGCACGCCCTCCTCCTCCTCCCGGCCCAGCTGACGGCACGCCGGGCCCCGGCCCCGGCGCCACCGGCACGGGCGTTGGGTGGGCTGCCTACCGCGCGGGTGCCAGCCCAGCCAGTGCCACACCTCTGACGCACCACTCTGCTGCGGGCCCGGGGGGCCAGCCTTGTTTCCCTTGCAAAGCACTTCGCACTGTCGTTCGAAGCCCCACCACCCCCCATCCCCC